TCGGTAGGTGCTTGAAGTGGCTCGGCCGGGTGGGGGCTTGGAGTGGCTCGGTGGGTAGGTGCTTGGAGTGGCTCGGTCTGTAGGTGCCAGACCAGAGGGGAGAGCGACAGGGTGTGTGTATATACATGTGTGTATGTGTGTGTCATGTGCTTTTGTGTGTGTGTGTGTGTGTGTGTGTGTGTGTGTGTGTGTGTGTGTGTGTGTGTCTGTGTTCGTGTCTGTGTGTCTGTCTCTCTGTGTTTGTGTATGTGTATGTGTGCCCCCATGTGTGTGTATGTGTGTGTATGTGTTGTATGTGTGTGTGTGTGTTTTTGTGTGTTTGTGTGTGTGTGTGTGTGTGTGTGTGTGTGTGTGTGTGTGTGTGTGTATGTTTGTCAGCAGCCAACGAAGAACTTGAAGATGTCGCCCAAATGCAGACCATCACCAATACCAGGTATGTGCCCTCACATCATCATCATTATCATCATCCTTCTCTCTCTCCCTCGTCTTACACCCACGTCTTCCTTCTGTACACCCGAAGACCACCCCTGCGCCTCACTGTAGTCCAAGCACCAGCCAGCTATGGAGGTTGGGCTATGGCGCTGGCCCCAGCAGCGCCCTGCTTCTTGCACGGCCGCACGCGCGCAGCACCTTGCCCTTAGCGCACAGCAGCACGCGAGACTTTGCTGCAGCAGCGCTGCCGCACCATCTGGAAAGTGCCTCAATGAGCCTCCAGGCAGCGAGCTCTTTCGTATATGGAAAGAGTCGGCCTGCCCCAGTGGCCTGGCTGGGCTGGGCCTCTGCCCGAAGCTTCTTGTAGGCCCCAGGAGGCTGTGCCTCTGTTGCAGCTGTTGGGCCTCGTTCGGTTGGGCCTCCCAACTGTCTATGTATGATGCTGCGATTCTTGCCCAGGTCCTGCACTTCAGGAAAAGCCTGGAAGGCCGTGGAAAATCTTTGCTGCTCGGGGCCTGGGCTTCCTCAACCAACTGGTGCGACGCAACTGCCTGTACCCCAAATACGAAATTGACAGACTTGGGCCTCTCGTGATTTGTTAGGCCCGCCTTCACTTAGGGCGGGCACACCTGTATCAGGGCCCCTTTAGGCCTGCCAAGGACCCAGATCCTCGCATATTTTTTTTGAAAACCCAAATACAATGCATACACGTTATATTCAGGGGAAGACTGTAGTAAGCTCACTGTATGGTGGAGCATGGCCACTTTGGTGACGGAAACGAGGGTAATGAGATACCCAAGGAAAGTTCTTAAAGCAGGACTTAAAGAGCATAGCAAGAAGAGGTATAGTTTTTTCAGAAGGAATGGCAGAACAGCTGGTGAAATAGAAACTGCTAGGTATACTACCAGGGCTGAAAAGCCAACAAAGATAGGGAAGGGAGGGTGGGTGTTTGTAGGGGAATAAGCAAGCTTGGGAGCGGATGGATCAAGATTCCCAAGGGCTGAAAAGGGTCAAAAAGGGATTGAGGGAGATAGAACCATCAAACCGGGTACCAGGCCTTGTAGATGCTTTGTTTCCGTTTTTTTTCTTTCCTTGTCTTTTTTTTTTTTTTTTTTTTTTCTTCTCTGCGCCGCCGGTGGCTGTTTTCCAATCGAGCCTCTTTTCATAATTGTGATGGAGGCACTGGCAACGAACCTCAGGGCCAACAAGGACCTGCGGAAGCTGCAGATCTCGGCCATCTCCGAAGAGGCAATCCCCATCTGTTCATTATTCCCAGATGATTTGACAATTATGGTAGATGCCACAACAACAAACATGGATGAGATTAGAAGTCTCTTTGATCGTTTTACAGCGATTTCGGATATGACTGTAAACTGGGGAAATAAAACTTTGGGCTGGTGGATCCATCATCAAGGCCTGCACCCCCCGGAGCTTCCAAGGGTCAAGTGGCTCCCCGAAGAGGCCCCAGTGAGAGTACTTGGAATACTGGGTATCTGTACCGGATGACCCAGAGAGTGTAGGAAATGTGGTGGAGGCCCCAGAGAGTGTACCGCGATCAACCTCTTCCACATAGGCAAGGATAATGCCCTGACCCGATACTCCCCAAACGTGACAAGATGGGAGAAAAACAGGGAACTACAAAGCGTCTGTGTGCTACGTGACAAAGACGTATGGACCGCATATCAGCCAAACACCCCACTGGTGGACCTTCCTTTAGACCCCGAGGAATGGCAGTGGTCATGGAAAAGTAGAGCTCGGGGAAAGACAAAGCTACAGAATCTGACAGTAAAGGCAACTTACCGTCTTTTGCGCCCCAAAGTAAACATTAAAGAAAATGTAAAAGAAAGATGGAAATCCCAATTAAATTTAGGAATCGAGGCGATCTGTCCCATCCGCTGGTTCACTACCACCAGAACCACGCCAGCAAAGATGGCCTCACTGCAGTGGCAGATAGAACACCGCTGCTTACCCACCAACGACTGGTTGATAGACCATACCCACCTGGAACAGAGAGGACAGGCGTTGCCTTGGTGCAAAGCGTGCCACACTGCCTTCCCCTCCCACAGAATCCCGGAGACTATAGAACATATATTTATGCAATGCTCGGGTGCAGTCCTCACATGGCGATGGTGGGATAGAGTCTGGTCCCGTCTGGGCACTGGGTCAAAATGGCCTTGGGACTGGAAAGCCATACTTTGCGAGACATGGTCCTCCCCCACAGATAAAACTTTTGAGAACAACATGTTTAAAATAGGAAGGAGAGCGGTCATGTGGGCCCTCTGGAGGAAACGTTGTATATATGCGATAGAGGGAGCCCGCCCGGCGGAGGGGGAGGTGACAGAGTTTATAAAACAATACATCCAACAAGAACTGACGACACAGTGGCAAAGAATTAAGATTCAATTGGACCTACTCCACTCAGCCAAAGATATAATGCAAACAATTCAGCAATTCTCAAGGGACTGGTTGGGCAGTGAGGATGGGGGCTGGATCGCCTCCGTCAGATGGGAAGGTAGGCCTACCCAGGGTGACCACCAGGGAAAGTTTAAAAAGGACTACAGTATTTGTTTTAAAGATTGGACAGTGGTGGGCCAGGAATTCCGGCTGCGACCATCCACAGAATTCCCAGATCCCTTCCCACCCCACCAGTTAGCAATGGTGGACCTGCAATGGTACGGCGTTGATGAAGTGGACTGAAATCCTAGGATGATTCAAGATTGGTAGTTGGAGATTGGTAGAAGAGGAAGAGCTAGCTTGTAGCAGCAGACATCTGGCGCCTGGTTCAGGGCGAAGAGGTTCTTTCCTTCTCCAATCCCGGAGTAATCAACGCTGGCAAAGGGGGGCTGCTGAAGAAGGCTGGGCAAATAGATAAGGGGCGCCTCAAGCTGGGAGGAGTGATATAGGCAGCTCCATGGGATAGCGGAGCCCCATACTTATCCGCAGCCTTGATGTTGATGTAACAAGCCTCGTACCCAAAGGGGGAGGTGGGGCAATGCAGCTTTTTTCAAGGAGGAAGGGAGGAACTAGTTCTGCAGCATTAGATATCTGGCGTCGGGCGCTGGGGCAAAGAGGTTTTCTCCCCTCCTCTAGCAACCTGCACAGTCAATCCTCTGGCATCCCGCACTGTCAACTCTCTGGATGCCAGAGTAATCAATGCTGGCAGGGCGATTCAGTATCATTTCATTCTGTTTTCCACTCTGTAATGGGACGCTGGACCCGTTTTCCAGCAGGTGATGCTCCCCACCAATAGATGGAGCCCCTCCCCGGGTGCTAGTGGTGTCTGCTCTTACCAGCACCACTAGCTTTGCAGGGGGTGTGTTTAAAAAAAAAAAACAAAAAAAAAAAAACAAAAGGAGACTAGAAAGCTTCAGCCATAGAGGTCCTTTTCTTCTTTCAGCGCAGCAAGTTTTTCAAAGAGTGACTTTTGTTGATAGTAGTACGCCAGTGTTGACTTTTGTCACTAGTAGTATGCCGGCGTTTTGTTTTTGACCATGCAATAGGTAGATAAATGAGAAGTGACTGGGAGTGTTTCCCCTCTTGACCTAAGCAGCAAGACAGAAAGGTTGAGCATTGGAGTTCATTCTGGCGGCTGGAGGTGTTCTGATGATGTGAGATGTAAAGTCCGAGGACACCTTATCTGTTGTTTTCCAATTCAAATCTATATCGCTTGAATTTTGGACTGACACTCCCCTAAATGGAAAAGGGACCATAAAGCAGCTGTTTTTTTTTGGGGGGGGATAAAAGGCAAGAAAAAACAGGGTTCTGTGAAGATCATTTGAGATCCCCAAAGAACATGCCCAGCCTTCGGACTTTCGGCACACCATCCTCCTCTTCAACAGCTTTGTCGATTCTATACCCTCCTCACAAGCGCTTAATATGACAGTCAAGTTGTTTTGCGACATTCAACCAGGGCAAGGGACAGGTCCCTGCGCCATAAGGATACGGCAGACTTCTCTACCTTCAAGGTCAGGCACATGTATATGCTAGAAGGGCCCCCTGGAACAGGGCAGTCTGAGTCACAACCACCGTCTTCCCCCTGAACACAACGCACCCTGGTAACAACTGCATACAAGCTATTTCCGTTTTCGGGTGCAGCCAAAATGAGGGTGCCATGAGTTCAGGGGAAGACGGTAGAACATGTTGCCATATAAACCCATTAGGATTGACAAGAATAGAGGAGATTCTTCTCCCAAGGAACTGTCCCAAGGAAACCCTCCCAAAGACACAAGACAAGAAGTTGACCCCTATATTGTCCGCATGACTGCAATGGTCTCTCAGATCATGAGGAGGGAGTCCCTCCAACCCAATGGTTCCGCAAGAGCTCTGACAACACAGCCTCCTGATCATTGATGTGGTGTTGTAATTCCCAAAAAAACAGATTCGTTTCTTGCGTCAAAAGTAGCTTGAGAGTTGGCACACTCTGCATTTGTGCAGCTCCTACTAACAGCCTGGTGGAACTAATAAAAGCCAGCACCAGCACCACACCCCAAAAGAAAACCAATGAGCTTGGGGTCCATACCTGTTTATACTCAGACTTCCGTATAGGCTCCAATGTAGCTAAAGAACAATTGATGCCGTCTGCAAGATCTTGTTGAATCTCGACAGGTTCCATAGCTTTGACGATTTCCTGGAAATTCTTCAGACGATCCTGTTCACTAAACATTTCCTGAAAGAACATAGATATAGCCTTGGAGAATGAGCTGACTTCCGCATGACAGGAATTGGCATGAAGTTCCATGAACAATGGTGAATATGTAAATGCTAGTAAGACATGCATGTCATAATGTTTGAAGCTGGAAAATTATCACATGAGAAACAGATGGCAAAGGGAATCTGCAAGGCTGCCCAGCTGTCGATCACTTCCCCACAAAGTCCCACCACAAGTGGTGGATATGATACACTCTTGCCAGCATGCCACATTTGCTCTCTCTCTCTCTCTCTCTCTCTCTCTCTCTCTCTCTCTCTCTCTCTCTCTCTCTCTCTCTCTCTCTCTCTCTCTCTCTCTCTCTCT